CCAAGATTTATCCTGCGACTGGAGCAAGTCAGAGAAAGTCTGCGATCCGTCAGTCAAATAGAACGGGCTCCATCCGAATCACGATGTCCATACCTCAAGTCCTCAATTTATGGGAATATGGACGTGGGCTGTACACGAGTCTTTGGCCAATCAACCCTGGGGGATGTTCCCGTACCAGCCCACAGGAACGGTTTGAATCACCAAGTCAGGGATTGAATTTCCGACACCAGCGCATCAGTCTGATCACAACAGTACCAATCACTGTTCAGCTGACGCAATCCGGCGCCACGTAACCATTTCCTGCATATTTCTGGCATTCTACATAGGCCACAAATACGGTTTTTACATGCAGATGTAGCCCACAGAGTGTCCAATCAGAAGGAAGTATTTTCATCTCTCTGCAACTAATATTTTAGCTTTTCTAAGAGATTAAATCTATTCCTTTGATCCGCGATATACTTTAAAGCTCCCCAGACACATCGGAGCCCCCTGGTGTCATGAAGCCGAAACGTCTGTGTTCCTCTTTTAAACTTCATGAAGGTGGCAAAGTCTGATTATAGACAAATCTCACTGGCACCCAGGTGTCACTTCCAGCCTGGAAGCTGCTCTGTCTTTTCAGATGCTAATGGATGAGCACATGTCTCTGAATACCTATGACTGAATATATGACTGAATATATCTTTAATAACAAGGAATGAAAATAAATTTACTATTACATATTGCTACTGATCACATCTCAGTCCAATCACTTGAATCACACATCTACGTTACAAGGGTAGTTGAGATGTGATCTGTAGAAGTATATAATTGTGGACATAGTTCAATCCTGTGGTATTAGAGATACAGTATTCCTTATTCAGTCATAGACATATGTTTTTAATCAGCATCTGAAAGGACAGAGCAGCTTCTAGGCTGGAGGTGACACCTAGATGCCAATAAAACATTCTCACCTACAGTTGTGTTCAAAATAATATCCGTGTGTTGAAAAAAGTGAATAAAGCTGAAAATCCTTCTAATAGCTTTTATTTCCATCCACACAAATGCATTGGGAACACGACACATTCTATTCCAAATCACAACATGAAGAAAAATAAATCAAATTTGTGTCGCTGTTCTAAAAAAAATGGAAGAAAAGTGAATATTAGACGGTTCAAAAAAATCGCAGTGTTTGTATTCTTCTTTACAAACTCAAACATTCACTATATAAACTGAGAAATGTTTGAAGATTTTGCTTTCCTTTGAATGACTTCATGAATATTTGGTTGTAGTCGCACTGTTTCTGAGAACTGCTGTACATCTGTGTTGCATGGAGTCCCCCAACTTCTGGCCCCTGTGATCAGGTATTCCAGCCCAGGATGATTGGACCACATTCCACAGTTCTTCTCTATTTCTTGGTTTGGCCTCAGAAACTGCATTTTTGATGTCACCCCACAAGTTTTCTATTGGATGAAGATCCGGGGATTGGGCTGGCCACTCCATAACGTCCATCTTGTTGGTCTGGAACCAAGATGTTGCACGTTTACTGGTGTGTTTGGGGTCGTTGTCTTGTTGGAACACCCATTTCAAGGGCATTTCCTCTTCAGCATAAGGCAGCATGACCTCTTCAAGTATTCTGATGGATTCAGACTGATCCATGATCCCTGGTATGCGATAAATAGGCCCAACACCGTAGTATGAGAAACATCCCCATATCATGATGCTTGCACCACCATGCTTCACGGTCTTCACAGTGTACTGTGGCTTGAATTCAGTGTTTGGGAGTCGTCTGACAAACTGTCTCCGCCCACTAGACCCAAAAAGAACAATCTTACTTTCATCAGTCCACAAAATGTTGCACCATTTCTTTTTAGGCCGGTCAATGTGATCTTTGGCAGATTGTAACCTCTTCAGCACATGTCTTTTTTCCAACAGTGGGACTTTGCGGGGACTTCTTGCAGATAGCTTGGCTTCACATAGGCGTCTTCTAATTGTAACAGTCCTCACAGGGAACATCACACCTTCTTTCATCTTTCTGGAGCTGATTGTTGGCTGAGTCCTCACAGGGAACGTCACACCTTCTTTCATCTTCCTGGAGCTGATTGTTGGCTGAGTCCGCGCCATTTTGGCTATTCTTCTATCCATTCCAATGGTAGTTTTTCGCTTTCTTCCACGTCTTTCAGGTTTTGGTTGCCATTTTAAAGCATTTGCGATCATTTTAGCTGAGCAGCCGATCATTTTCTGCACTTCTTTATGTTTTCCCCTCTACAATCAACTTTTTAATCAAGGTACGCTGTTCTTCTGAACAATGTCTGGAACGACCCATTTTCCTCAGCATTTCAGAGAGAAATGCACTGTAACCACCAGCATGTCCAACATTTGCTGCCTTCCTTCCTTAAATAAGGGCAATAATTGCCGCCTGTTTATCAAAGAATGAATGACCTTACTAATAGAACTCCACACGGCTATTATTGTGAACACGCCCCTTTCAATGAGTGATTCAATGACACAGAATCAGCAGCATGCATGTCATGACTGTCGGGTCTGTTGGATTTCTATTACTCTACTACACCTTCTAGTAAATTATTTGGCATGTAGAAATATCATTTCTACCAAAAACAGTGATTGATCCGGTTAGTGATGTCTGACTGCTAGTATTTTGAACACAACTGTATGTAGCCAGACTTTGTCACCTTCTTGAACATAAAAGAAGAATCCTAATAATTTCCTTTACAAGAGTCTGCAGGAGTCTGGGAGAGAGCTCCCAAAGGTCTGCCAGCTCTGATTTATATCCACAGATCAGAGGAATCTATTTCATCTCTCATAAAAGCTAAAATATTAGCTGCAGAGAGATGGAAATACTCCCTTCTGATTGGACACACTGTAGGCTCCATCTACATGTAAAACTGTATTTGTAGCCTCTGTAGAATCCCAGAGAAACACATAAAATGGTCATATGGTACCTGATTGGGACAGTGGAACAATGATTGGTACTTTCGCGATTGGACTGACGCGCTGGTGTCGGAAATCCTATCCCTGACCCAGTGATCAGATTCGTTTCTGGCCCATTCGAAATTGCGCACTTCAGAACACAGAACATCTTGTGGGCTGATTTTCTTTTGACTTGCTCCAGTCGCAAGAAAAATCTGGGTAAAAGTTTTTTTTTTCTGTTTTTATTTCATAGTGAATAGCTAATTGTGTGTCTTTTTGTCTTTCTTGTATCTTCTGTAACTGTTTTTTCTTTGTACATATTTTATGCACCGCCCACTTTCAGGATATTAAAACGTAAAATAAATGTGTCTTCTATGTACTAAGCTCGGGCACAATAGTTGTATTGTAGTGTCTATGTGTTTGGTCTAAGTTCATTGCCAATCTGTATGCAATTGCACTGCGTGTTGGCAGATTGCATGCAGATTGTAAAGTAGCAGATCTGCCAGATGGAGATCTGTGTGTGTGGTGGCCCAGCAGACCAGTCTGCGGACAAACTGTTGGGTGGTGGCAAGTTACCATTTTTGTGTGCCTGGTGGGGGTGTGTGTGGACAGTAGAAGAGTGATTAACACCGGGGTTCTAGCTTGTAGGATAGTTGGAGGAATCCTAGAAGGGTGTGCCAATTGCTAGACTGCTCCCCAACCATTAGAGTGCACCTGATTGTATGTAAGATTTGTATCTGCCTGTGTGTGGTCAGCCAGCTGGATTGGAGTGGAGTCTCCCTCTAGTGGTGGCCAGACGTAGTTACATAGTTAGTCTGGCTAAAAAAAGACAAAAGTTCATCCAGTTCAACCATAAAAAAAAAAAAAAAAGTTCTAATCCTACACTCACAGTTGATCCAGAGGAAGGCAAAAAAACTCAGCAAAGCACGATCCAATCTGCTCCTGCAGGGAAAAAAATTCCTTCCTGATCCCCCGAGAGGCAATCGGATATTCCTTGGATCAACTTTACCTATAAATGTATATATATAGACAGTAGTGAGCGCTCTCCTGTGTAGCGGCTAGTACACTAAGGCAACCAAAAGAAACCTCAGAAATACAATGAAAAATAAAAAGTGCAGCGCTTGAAATAAAACTAAAGGGGTGGAATCAGTCTAAAACATATGAATAATCCAAAAATCCGCCAATTATTTTTCATTTTACCTATAAATGTTATATCCAGTTATATTCTGTGTATCCAAGAAAGAATCCAAGACTTTCCTACAGCAATCCACTGAGCTGGCCACAACCAACTCTTGAGGGAGTCTATTCCACATTCTCACAGCTCTTACTGTAGGTATTGCGGGCTGTGAAAGGGTATCCCGGCCAGTGTTAAATGTTCAAAGTCCCCCTCATTCCCTCTTTACCCCAAGTCACGGATGGACCACGCCTCGGTTATCTAGTCGCTGTGGGCGTGCATTTTATCTGTGACAGACGGGCTGGTGGTACAAAAGGTAATAGCTGTGGGAGATAAACTACAGAAAATGAAGTGAGAGGAGACAGTTATAGGTAATACTGAAGGAGCGCTGTAATAGGTAGGAGGAGAACCAGGAGAGAGCAGAGTCTCGGAGGCCAAGAGAGTGGAGTTTTTTGAGGAGGAGGGGATGGTCAACAGTATAAAAAGCCGCATAGAGGTCAAGTAGTAAGAGAATGGACTTATGGCCATTGGTTGGGATGAGTACAGTGTATTGACCATTGGTTAGGGTGAGTATGGAGAAGTGGCCATTGGTTGGGAGGAGTACGGAGTAGTGGTCATTGGTTGGGATTAGTACGGAGTAGTGGCCATTGGTTTGGATGAGTATGGAGTAGTGGTCATTGGTTGGGATGAGTATGGAGTAGTGGTCATTGGTTAGGATGAGTACAGAGTAGTGGCCATTGGTTTGGATGAGTATGGAGTAGTGGTCATTGGTTGGGGAGAGTACGGAGTAGTGGTCATTGGTTGGGATGAGTACGGAATAGTGGCCATTGGTTGGGATGAGTACAGAATAGTGGCCATTGGTTGGGATGAGTACGGAGTAGTGGCCATTGGTTGGGATGAGTACGGAGTAGTGGCCATTGGTTGGGATGAGTACGGAGTAGTGGCCATTGGTTGGGATGAGTACGGAGTAGTGGCCATTGGTTGGGATGAGTACGGAGTAGTGGCCATTGGTTGGGATGAGAACGGAGTAGTGGCCATTGGTTGGGATGAGTACGGAGTAGTGGCCATTGGTTGGGATGAGTACGGAGTAGTGGCCATTGGTTGGGATGTACGGAGTAGTGGCCATTGGTTGGGATGAGTACGGAGTAGTGCCATTGGTTGGGATGAGTACGGAGTAGTGACCATTGGTTGGGATGAGTACGGAGTAGTGGCCATTGGTTTTAGCAGTTAGTAGATCATTAGTGAGTTTTAGTAGGGCAGTTTCAGTGGAGTGTAGTGAGTGAAAGCCAGACTGTAAAGGGTCATGAAGGTTGTTGTCAGTGAGGTGGGAGCTCAGGCGATTGTAGACTAAGAGTTCTAAGAGTTTAGAGGTAAATGGCAGCAGGGAGATGGGTCTTAAGTTGTTCAGGTTGGTGGGGTACAGGGAGGGCTTTTTAAGTATGGGAGTGATCTGTGCATGCTTCAGAGGGGAGGGTTAGTGACCTCTTCAGTAGTAGGAAGGTCAAAAGAGGAAAGTGTTGAGGGAGGTTTAGTATGTGGTACGATAAGTGGGATGGATGTCTGTGCAGTGGAGACGCTCCTACGAATTGCATCAATCTTGTTTTTGAAATGATTGGCAATCTCGTAAGCAGTCAGGAGGTGGAGAAAGTAGAGAGTTAAAAGTAGAGAAGAGACAATGAGAACTGGATGATAAGCTATTGATGAGAGTGACAAAGTAGGCTTGTTTGGCAGCATGGAGGGAGGAATTGTATATTAATAAAGCATATTTATATAGGGTGAAAGCTTGCTGAGATTTGGTTTTATGCCACAATCGCTCAACTGCACAACTATGTCTCTTAACTGGTTGCCGACCAGCCACAGTATTTATACTGCGGCAGGGCGGCACCACTGCGCAGAACGACGTTTTAAAACGTCATTCTGCAAAACAGGTAGGGGGCACGTGCGAGGCACGCAACCGCCCTACCTGTGCCGCTGATCGCGGCTGCGGGTGTCAATCACCCGGTCCCGGCCGGTCATTACCCGACGGGTCCCAGCGATTACCGGCAATCACTAACAGGGAGCAGAGCTGCAGTGTTTACACTGCAAATCTGCTCTCTGTCAGTTCCGAGCATGCTGATCCTGAGAGCGGAGTTTATCTCTCGGGATCAGCGTGTTCCTGTGAAGCACACCCCCGCCCCGCCCCCTAGTAAAACACTCCCCTCACACAGTTAACCCTTTCATTGCCAAAAAAAATTAACCCCTTCCTCCCCAGTGCCATTAGTACAGTGTCAGTGTTTTATGTTTGCACTGATCACTGTATTGGTGTCACTGGGGATGTCAGTGACCCCAAGTCTGTCCCCCCCCCAGTGTCAGAATGTCTGCCGCAGTCCCGCAGTCCTGCCATAAGTCGCTGATTGCCACCATTATTAGTATAAAAAACTAATTAAAAATCCAGTATCTATACCGCCATTTGTAAACACTATAACTTTCATGTAAACCAATTAATTTACATGTATTGGGATTTTTTTTTTTTAGCAAAGACATGTCGCAGAATACATTTTGGCCAAAATTTATGACGAAATTAGATTTTTACATTTTTTACTGGACATGTTTTATAGCAAAAAGTCCAAAATATTGTTTTTTCTCAAAATTGTCGGACTTTTTTTTTTATAGCGCAAAAAATAAAAAATGCACAGGCAATCAAATACCACCGAAAGAAAGCTCAATTAGTGGGAAAAAAGGACGTAAATTTAATTTAGGTGCAGTGTTGCATGACCACGCAATTGTCAGTTAAAGTAACACAGCAACGTAACACAAACTGCTTCTGTAACCGCTTCCTGACTGCCCTATAGCAGAAATACTGCTACAGGGCGGCACGGGTCTGTAAAATCACATATATACACGTGAGTCGCGCTTCCGTGGTTTTCTCACCCCTCCCACATAACGTCAGATTGCCCGTCAGTACACCAGTCATCACATTTAACCCCTTGATTGCCAGGAACACACTCATGCACAATAAACCTCCATTGCTAGTATAGTGTCTGAACGGGTCAATATCTTTGATGAGATCAGCACTATACCAGCGTTCACATTAGTATAGCATCCCCAAAAACACAGCGTTAGCGGGATCAGCCCCGGCACCTGCCAGCACCTGCGTTTAGCCCCTACTCTTACCCCCCTTCTCCCCCAGCAAGTGCAGTGTCAGTAGGTCACTGTCACCTGATATATTACACACAAAACCGCAGTATTCGCAGAATCAGGCCTGATCTCTGTTAGCACTTGTCAGTAAATTTTGATGACTCTCATATGCAGCAGAGTGCCAGTACTAGTTCCACGCTACCTTTTGGTGAACTGGCGAGTACTTGTGGCCTAGTACATCCTGGTCTTTCACATATCTCTTAGATTGTAAGCTCCCAGGATCAGGCCCTCCTAACCCTCTTGTATTGAACTGTATTGTTCTGTATTGTCTTCCGTTATATTGTAGCGCTGAGCAAACTGTTGGCGCCATAAATCCTGTATAATAATAATAATACCAGCACTGCAGTATGACTTGGTGACGTGGTGAGTCCCATAAGTGCAGTACAAGCTGGTGCGGGGGCGAGCACAAGTATCCCGCAGCCACCAAGAATTTGCACACAGGCCTGTACAGCTCCTAGTATCCTTCCAGATGTGCTTGGAAATCCCGATTGACAGCCCACAAATTCTGCAGCACCCGTACTTCCCCCATTCGCTGCCCAACCCGGAATTCAAGTGGAAATAGCAAATTTAACTACTCCCCTTGATTTTTGGAGCTGTTTTTCACGGAATATCTGTATGCGTTGATTGTGGATCAATGCAATTTATCTGCACAACAATTTTTCGCCGCCAACCCAAATTCAAACCTTGCCAGACCAGTCGCATGGAAACGCATTACAGTTTTCGAATTTACATTTTTTGGGGCCTAACCCTCAACATGGGCATTACTGAAAAAATAAATTGCGGTTGTATTGGTCTGCAGATCCGATTCATCATATGCCCGTGTTCTCTGCTGCCATGGCCAGCATAGATATGAGAGAATATAATGTGTTTTATGCATTTCAATGACAATACACTCTGTCGTCCTCGGGGGGACCCTGAATTTCAGCGACAATACACTCTGTCATCCTCGGGGGGACCCTGAATTTCAGCGACAATACACTCTGTCATCCTCGGGGGGACCCTGAATTTCAGCGACAATACACTCTGTCATCCTCGGGGGGACCCTGAATTTGATTATCTACACAAAATTCAGCCCCTCACAAATCACCTTAACCAAAAATTGCAGATGTCTATACTCCCCAGCAAAACATCTGCGTTGGTGAGTCCCTCATTAATTTTTCTGGCCGCCTTGCATTCAAACAATTTCTCCCCAGCAAGCGTGCCAGATATGGGGTCAAGATGTAGAAGACCTGTGAGATGGCAACAGGCTATACTTACAAGTTTTGTATTAACGAGGGAATAGATAGTCACTGGAGCCCCCCGGATGCCAGACTACATGGCGAGTAGTGACAAGATAGTTTGGGACTTGGTGTCATCATTTCTCCATATGGGGTACCACTTATATGTGGACAATTATTATTCAAGCGTGCCACTATTTAAACATTTGTTCAATCTTGGAACTGGCGCATGTGGCACCGTGTGACCTAATGTGTGCCCACCATTAGAAGTGGGTGGATGCAGGGCGGTATATTCTAATGGTGGGCATACCACACACTTTTTCTGGCAGAGATTTCTTCTCTTTTTTTCATTCAGTCCACAGGCTGCATACAAAAAAAAGAACATAGCATATATACCCAACAAGGACCAGCGACGTACTGGTACATCACTGGACTCTGAGTGGTGATACCAGGATGATGCCTACAGCTGCAGGCATCATCCTGGTATCGTTTTTTTCAGCCGGCGATCGGCTTTCATGTAAATGCAATCCTAGTGGCTATTTAGCAGCAGGATTGCTTTTACATGCAGCGGGAGATGATGCCTCCCCTCCCCTGCTGCCTTCCACAGCCTTTTCGGGCAGTCCCGTGCCATTGGGGGAACCTGAGAATGCAGCCGGTGTTTCTGCCAGCTGACCATAGAGCTGATTGGAGACCAGAATCATAAAAGATAAATGATTCTCTGATCACAGAGAGGCAAAAAGGAGGTGAGAATCAATCACCACAAACAGACGAAAAGATATAGAATAATTATCCTGAGTTGTGCAGAAAGTCAGTGCATAGCTGTGAGACAGTTTAAGGTGGAGATGAGACAGCAGCATTTACCTGTGAAAGAGCAGAGAGGACAGAATCGGGGGGTTGTGTTCAGCTGCTGTTTCACACTCCAACAGAAAATGCACTCACGCAGGACAATGCCCCATCTGTGCCTGTACCCCCTCGTCTATTCTATTCTGTTCCTTTATTTTCTATTCCATTTTATTATTTTATTTTCTATTCTATTATTTTCTATTCTATTCTAAATTCGAATGTCGTAAAGCGGCTATATTCTAACACTAATACACACAGTCTTTGAAGAAAATCAGCAATAGTCTTCAAAATGTTTATATTTCACATTTGTTTTTGAATTCAGATGAAATTTTGTTTCGTTATTTGTTTAAATCCCTTACTATTGTAATTGAGAAATTTGGATATATCCGAATCTCCGAATAACAAAATTGTATGAATTTTGCACATATCTAATGCCATCCAATAGATTTTAGTTAATTTGTGTCTGCTACAGTGCCTTGAAAAAATATTCATACCTCTTGAAATTTTCCGTGTTTTGTCATGTTACAACCAAAAACGTAAATGTATTTTATTGGGATTGGATGTGATAGACCAACACAAAGTGGCAGATATTGAGAAGTGGAAGGAAAATGATAGATGATTTCCAAATATTTTTACATATAAATATCCGATCTTTATCACAGTGTCACTGATGTTGTCCTGGAGAATCGCAATGTTCTGTAAGAGCTCATTCATAAGAGTGGCCAGGGAGCAGTAACAGCAGCTGTGACCCCCAACCGAGCACCTAAACAAGGACATGCCACCCTCAGGGCCGTACACTGGCCACAACCATACTATCTGTCTTCAAGGCTGTGACAAAAATGTAACCGCAGTCACGTTTGGGGGCAGTACTGTACCAAACATGACCCATTTGAGTCAATAAAACATGCCACAACTGCACTGCAGCTGCAAACAATGCATGTGGTTGTGGAATGGTGGTTCAGCCTTTTGAGGACGTGGCATATTGCCTCCCACCCGCCTGTCAACTGCCCTCTGAAAAACAATCCACCCTCCCGTGTGACATCCTTTGATTGAAAATTTGAAGGGGCCAGACACAAAAGTGTTGGTGGAACTGCAGCTGCATTCAGTCAGATGCATCTGCTGTTTGGGTGTTTTGACAGAAGCTGGCAGAGGGAGATTTGTTCTTTTACAGTGTATAGCA